TTTAAGAAATACTGCATCAGCTACTCTTTTGAGATGGAATTTCACTTGTTTCCCAGGCTGGAGCTACTCAGGAGGCTGAGGCAGGAAAACTGCTTGAACCCAGGACGTGGAGGTTGCAGTTGAGCCAAGATCACACCACTGCACTCCAGCCTGGGTAAGTTATACTCAGTCTCAAAACAAATGAAAAAACCCAATATTGATAGAATATTCAACTATACTGTAGACTCTGGACTTTCAGATTTCATGTTTTTCCACTTAACACCGTTTTATTTCCAGGGTACCCCACTGCATTTATTAGTAGTCCTGTATCCTTAGTCTTCTGCCATCCATGATTACTTCTCAGCCTGTTTTTCTATGACCTGGAAATTTTGAAGAATACTCTTCACATATTCCAAATGTCTTTTTCTCATTAGATTCAGGTTACAGGTTTTTGGAAATCATAGAAGTACAGTACACTTCACATCGTATCAGGGGGTACACATCACTGGTGATATTAACATTGATCACTTGGGTAAGTCTGCCAAGTTTCTCCACTGCAAAGTTACTCTTTTCCCTATATACTCTTTTCTTCAGGAGTCACTAAATCTTGCCCATGTTCTTAAGCTTCACTCTGTGAAAGGGTAAGTATCTACATATATTTGGAAATCTTTAAGGAAATTCTTCTCCCTGTGGGAGACTTTTAAAAGTCTTTGGTTTTTCAATAGCTCCTGAGTTCAAATAATCTTCCTGCCTCAGCTTTCTCAAGAGCTGGAACCACAGGTCTGTGCCACCATGGCTGCCTCAACTTTTGTTTTTTTAAAAAAATCTTTTGGAAGGCTGAGGGGGATGGAGGTCAGGAGTTCAAGACAAGCCTGGCCAAGATGGTAAAACCCCATCTCTACTAAAAATACAAAAATTAGCCGGGAGAGGTGGGGGACTCTGTCTCTCAAAAAAAGAAAAAAACAAAAACAAACAAAAAAACTTCATAAGCCTGAGTCACTTTTCTAACAAAAAGAACCAAAGACACGTGATTAAAAAAAAAAAAAAAAATTCAGCCAAGTATTAGGCAGTTCTGTGCAAGACAGTCAAGACACTGGGTATTTGGGATCTTTTTTATTTTTATACACATGACAAGATTTTACATCAAGAATAGTCAGTTAAATAGTACAAATTTACATTCATGAGGAATGTTAAAAAAAATTCAACTAAAAAACCCACTTCTTCCTGTGACCCATAATCCCACATTTTACAGTGCAGGGGAGAAAGGGACTGGTGGGGGGCATCCAAAACAAGTCTCTCCCAAAAGAAATGACTTCAAAGTCCCTCTCCACACAGGATCCAAACGGTGAGAGTGTAATTTACAATTCATCTTTTTCAACTGTAGATTCCTGTAAAAAAAAAAAAAAAAAAAAATTAAAAAAAAAAAAAAAAAACCCAGACGATATTAAAAGCAGAGAAAAATACCCCTAGCTCACAGAAGGTTCATGCATGAAAGATGCGATTTAAATGCTCAGTCTGACTTCTGTAAGTTACACAGTCCTAACTTTGTCAGAACTAAAACTCTACCTAACTTTGTAAGAACTGAAAATGCAAGTCACATTCTTGATTTGCTATACCTTTGCTGTTTCTTGTTCTTCTTCATCTGTTCCTGCATCCATTTCTTCGTCTTCATCTTGCTCTGTGTCTTCTGTTGTGTCTTCTGTTGTCTCTTCAGGTTCTTCTTCGGGTTCTTCTTCCACCTAAATGCAAGATTTATGGGCCCATTAATGCTGTGGATTTATTGCCACTTTGCTCATTTCAATGTATAAAATCATAATTAATGTCATGTCTATTTATTCAGAACCAGAGAGTAAATCCTCTAACTAGAATGAATAGTCAAGCTAATGAAGGGAGGCAGGCAAAAAGGAAAGAGGACATAGGAGGACTTAGTATCTAGTGCAGTGTCCAACACTAGAGGGATTCAAACACTCAATACAATTATTTCAAAAGGTAGAAATTAGGCAAATGTCTCAAAGCTACATCCTTCAATCATGAGAAGCCTATTCTGAAAGAGCAGACACGAAGAAAGCCAGCCAGCCTCCATGGAAAGGTTGGGGATACAAACCTTTGCATCAGGGTCAATGTTCAAGCTGAGGCGAAGCATTCTTTCTATTCTATCTCCATATGCTTTAGTGTCTGGTAAAAGATATCCTGACCGAAGTGTTGCTGTTTCAAATAAAACCACAGCAAGATCCAAAACTGTTTTATCATCTTCATCTTCCTGAGATGCAAGAAGATACACCAGATTAATATTAAAAGATACAAAGTATTTAAATCAAAAGACAAGCAAGAAGACTCCTGTAACACTACCTTAATTCGTCGAAGCATGTCTCTGATCAGCGGGTGTCTGGGATTAATTTCAAATGTTTTCTTCTGACTTGCATAGTAACTGTTAAGGGATAAGAATGAACATTAACAAAACTTATCCAATTTTAGGGTTCATTTCCCTTACTCTTTCATAATTACAGAGAACAACTTTTGGTAAAAAAATAAAAATGTACTATTGACACTTTACCACCACAGGTTTGAACTTTGAGGGTCCACTTATATGCTAGTTTTTTCCCAATAAATACAGCCCACCCTCCATGTCTGCAGATTCAACAACCAAACTTGGATAGAAAATACTGTATTCTTGGGATGTGGAATCCACACATACAGAACTCCAACTCTTCATATACACGGGTTCCACAAGGCAGACTGGGGGACTAGACTATGTGTGTGGATTTTGGCAGGGGTCCTAGATACCAATCCCCCTTGTACACCTAGGGACAACTGTACTTTTCCGGTCCACTTTATCTGCAGAGTCAACCAAGCTTGGATTAAAAATATTAGAAAGGACAAAACAAAAAATAACCCAACACAGTATAATAGCTATTTATATAGCACTTACATTGCATTAGGTGTTAATCTACAGATTAAAGTATATGAGAAGATGTGCCTAGGTTATATGCAAATACAACATGACTTTATGAGACTTGACTATGTGTGGATTTTGGTATCCATGGATGTCCTGGAACCAATACCCCAGGATACAAAGGGATGACTGCATTATTTCCTTAGATTTTGTGGAGATAGGGTATCATTATATTGCATAGGCTGGTCTTGAACTCATGGCCTCAAGTGATCCTCTCACCTCAGCCTCCCAGAGTGTTGGGATTATACATGTGAGCCATGTGCCCAGCCTGTATTGCTCCCTTTTAACGGGGAGGCAGGCAGGGGGCGAGTGGACATGGTTAGATGAAAAATGAAAGGAATTATTTATTGATGAGTCCAAAGTACCTAAGAGCACGCCTGAACGGATGAACTGACTTAATGTCCTGTTTGTTCCCTCTTAGTTTATTCTTACTATCATAATTGTAGCTCTGCCTCCCAGAGTTCAGAAAAATCTATGTAGTCTCTGGGTGCTGCTCCAATAATAATACCTTCTCTATAATGCCTTCACCAATATGATTCTAAGAAAAATTAACTTTTTATCTGAACTCAGTTCCAAATGCGTTTTGAATATACCTTCAAAATACTTAGCATTTTACTGTTCATTGTGATTATTCTCTCTTCTCTAGTTTAAAGCTCTGAGGACACGGAGGAACCACATCTATCCCTATCCTGGT